AGAATTGTAGAAATGTTTGCCCCCATCCCTGCCATTAACTCTGAAGATGAAAGGGGAAAAGTTTTAGCATATGTGAAGGGCGATATCGAATTTAGAAAAGTTGATTTCTGCTATCCATCAAGACCTGATACCCCAGTTCTTCAAGGACTCAACCTTAAAGTCCAAGCTGGTAAGATGGTGGGTCTTGTTGGAGGCAGTGGTTCTGGCAAGTCAACAATCATTTCTTTACTTGAAAGATTCTATGATCCGGTAAAAGGAGATATTCTCGTTGACGGATACAAGTTAAATAAATTTCAGCTGCAATGGTTGAGATCCCAGATGGGACTGGTCAATCAAGAGCCAATTCTCTTTGCAACATCCATAAAAGAGAATATTTTATTTGGAAAGGAAGGAGCTTCAATGGAACATGTAATAAGTGCAGCTAAGGCTGCAAATGCACATGACTTCATTGTCAAACTCCCCCTAGGATTTGACACTCAAGTATGCCACAATATTATACTCATTCCAAGTTTCAAGCAAAACTAGTATTATTCAATGTAGTCATTGATATATTTGAATTGAAGTTTTTTACCTCTTACTTCAGGTTGGGCAATTTGGAGTTCAATTGTCTGGAGGACAAAAGCAAAGGATTTCTATAGCAAGAGCAATAATCAGAGACCCAAAAATTCTTTTGCTTGACGAAGCCACAAGTGCTTTGGATGCGCAATCTGAAAAAGTTGTGCAAGAAGCCTTGGACCAAGCTTCACAAGGAAGAACAACAATTGTCATAGCTCACCGCCTCACCACAATCCGCAAGGCTGATTTGATAGTGGTTCTTCAATCAGGTAGAGTGGTGGAAATGGGATCTCATGAGGATTTGGTCCACAAGAACGATGGAGAAGGTGGAGCATACAGTAAAATGCTGCAATTGCAGCAACAAGCAATGCAGAATGGTCCTGACATTTCCTATCATCCAGAGGATATTATAATCAAGCATCCACGAACTCCACATACACCAAATAGTGTGAGATCAAGCTTGCAAAACAGCCCTGCACTGAGGAGTGCGAGATCAAGCTGGCAAAACAGCCCGGCATATCCAATCACCCCAATATTCTCCATCAGCATTACAAACTCCTTTCAAGCGGGCCAGTATGATGAATTTGACGATGAAATGTCACAAGACAGCTCTTATCCTTCCTCTTCTACTTGGTGTTTATTTAAAATGAATGCACCTGAGTGGAAGCAAGCAATACTAGGGTGTCTGGGGGCTGCTGGCTTTGGATCTATTCAGCCAGTTCATGCCTATTGCTTAGGAACAGTTGTAGCAGTTTACTTCCAAACAAACAATTCCACCATCAAATCAGAAACCAGATTCTACTGCTACATCTTCTTAAGCCTAGCAGTTTTCAGCTTCATTGCTAATCTCCTCCAACATTACAATTTTGCAGTTATGGGAGAGCGTTTATCCAAAAGGGTTCGAATAAAAATGCTCGAAAAAATTCTCACCTTTGAGATAGGGTGGTTTGATCAGGATGAAAACACAAGTGCTGCCATCTGTGCACGGCTAACCACTGAAGCAAACATGGTTAGATCCCTAACTGCAGATCGTATATCATTGTTGGTTCAGGTCTTTTTCAGTGCCTCCATAGCTTTTGTGATTGGACTGATAGTGACATGGAGGATAGCCATTGTAATGATTGCGATACAACCTTTGCTCATAGGAAGCTTCTATTCAAGGAGTGTTCTAATGAAGAGTATGTCTATAAAAGCACAGAAAGCACAGGCTGAGGGCAGCCAACTAGCTAGTGAAGCTGCTTTCAACCACAGAACTATCACTGCATTTTCCTCTCAGAATAGGATATTAAATCTGTTTGGAGATGCAATGAGAGGGCCTAGGAAGGAGAACATCAAACAGTCATGGATTTCAGGTTTTGGTCTATTCAGCTCCCAATTCTTGACAACAGCTGCAATAGCCTTGACTTATTGGTATGGGGGGAGGCTAATGAATCAAAATTTAGTAACGGCAAAACACCTGTTTCAAGTTTTCTTCGTCTTAATGAGCACTGGTAAAAACATTGCAGATGCAGGAAGCATGACTTCTGATCTAGCAAGAGGGGGGAGAGCCATCAAATCAATATTCTCCATCCTAGACAGAGAAAGTGAAATTTCATCAGAAGAGCTTGAAGGGATAAAAAAGACTTTCAAGGGTCACATAGAACTAAAGAATGTTGTATTTGCTTACCCAGTCAGGCCTGACCAGATGATCTTCAAGGGCCTGAATCTCAAGATAGAAGCTGGAAAAACAATGGCACTAGTGGGACAGAGTGGTTCTGGAAAATCCACTGTCATTGGCTTGATTGAAAGATTTTATGACCCACTAAATGGATCAGTATCCATAGATGGATGTGACATCAAGCTCTATAATTTGAGAAAGTTGAGGTCACAAATAGCTTTAGTAAGCCAGGAGCCTACTCTTTTTGGAGGAACCATCAGTGAAAACATAGTCTATGGTAAAGAAAATGCAACAGTAGCTGAAGTAAGAAAGGCAGCAAAGCTTGCCAATGCTCATGAATTTATAAGGTACGGCTACATTTTTCTCCACATTAACATCTAAATTGTTGATCCTAATGAAAATGATTTTTTTTTTTTTTTTTTAAATGTTGCAGCTCTATGGAAGAGGGATATGAGACTTACTGTGGAGAAAGAGGAGTTCAACTATCAGGAGGGCAGAAGCAGAGGATAGCACTTGCACGAGCGATACTAAAGAACCCAACAATCCTTCTGCTGGATGAAGCAACCAGTGCACTTGATAGTGTGTCAGAGAATTTAGTCCAGGAAGCACTGGAGAAGATGATGGTTGGCAGAACATGTGTTGTTGTAGCTCACAGGTTGTCAACTATACAAAAAGCAGACTCCATTGCTGTGATAGTGAATGGGAAAGTAGCAGAAAAAGGATCACACCATGAGCTACTTGCTATCGGACGTGGCGGTGCCTACCATTCTCTGATAAAACTGCAAAGCAATCAGTCTCCACACCATTTGTCCATGCAGGTGTAAGTTGAGGACGGTCCATGTAATTCCTGTGGTGGAAGTTTTTGGTAAAGCAGTAGAAATTACCCCAAAAAAAATAAAACAAAAAAGAAAAAGGCAGATATATGGAGCTGCATGAACGCGTAGAATCCCATGGCTTTCAAGTTCAACATGAAGACCGGGAAACTTCCATAATTATTAAACAAAGTTTTCCTGAATTGATGAAACACAATAAGGTTGATGATGTTGTCATGTTTTTTTCTCTGCAAATTCTCGCAATCAACATTTTGTCTTGACTACCAACAAATTGTTTTCTGCAATCAATTTTTCCAGTCAAACTACTGGTTCAATATTTCACCAAAAATAATTGTTTCAATGCTCATTTGCTTTTCCTCGGATCTATAGGCACATAATTTATCAAGTAAAAATGCATAGCTGCTTAAATATAAACCAAAAACATAAGGCACATAAACGGTGCATATGTTAACTTTAAAACGTAAAATGACAAAGTATCTATGATAATTAATTTATAAACGCGAATTCTTAGTTAGATGCAGAGATGGGAATAAGTGACAATTTCTTTTGTGAAAATGTATACTGAAATCAGTAAAGGTACAAGATATTTTGCTATGATAGTGGATTAAGCATCATTTGAACCATAAAATTTGGGCAACTTGACAAAACTTCCGCTAGACCAAAGCATCCTGCGCCAACCAAAAAAAAAAAAAACAAACCAGAAACTAAAGCAAACCAACTTCAAAAACCCCAGAAAAGAAGGGGACAAACTACAAAAGCCATCAAACAGGAGGAAGCTAGCCAGAATTAGGAGATATAAGACGCCATTCATGAGTCACAGGAATTCTTTGTTTTTCTTCTGTATTTCCCAATGTTGCAAGGAGGCAAGAGGCAAAGCCAAAAAAACAAGAAACACAGAAGCTGGACTTGTGAAGACATTTCTACACCAGTCTCATGTAATCAACAAAATGCCAATTTATTCTGAAACGAGTATTAACTATAAGCAAAGACTTGCCCACTACCTATTGGTGTAGTGATACTTCTCTTCTCAATGTTAGAAGAGGTCCCAAGTTCCAATCCGCCCTTCCTAAATGATCAAAAGAAAAACTGTAAGCAAAGATTTTAGTCCAAAACTGAATGATTACTGTGAAACCCCATATTTTTAAACATGTATATTAATATTTCATAAAATTAATTATTTATAATTATTAGTTTTCAAAACTATATATATATTAGTTAGTTTTATGGTAAGCTACGTGAATCTAGCTATAGCCTATCAAACCTCATTGTATGACTTTAACTATAGCAATTTATTTAATATTTATTCTATACACACAAAAGCTTTTAGAAAGGT